TCGGGTTCCGGGCCGATGAGCTTTTTGGACAGCCTTAAGCTCCCCTTTTAAGGAGTGGGCCAAGATATGTAAGAGGCGTTGCACCCAAAATGCAGTTGAGGATGTTAGCTAAGAGCTGGCCCTTATTAGAGATCTTACCAAAGTAGATCAGAGAGAACTTAGAGTGGTTAATGTTCAGCCCTAAGATGTTTTCAAAGATTGAGAGGATGGTTTTAAGAGTGAACGTGTCCTACTGATATGCTCTGTTGAAAATGATAGTAACATCAACAAATTGAAGGGGCATATTGTTGTTTAGCTCACCTCTAAGGTGAAGCTCACAGAAGTCACCAGATGCCACACTATTATTTATCATCTTATTGAGCAAATCCACCATAAGGATGAAAAGAAGTGGGGATAAGGGATCAATCCTGCTTAAGACCTCTGTGGTATTGAAAGAAGTTGGTTGGGGAGCTATTAACTAGAATGGCTGATTTAGAGGAGGAAAGGATATGCTGGATCCAATTGCACCACTTGGGACCAAATCCCATGGCTTTAAGGACAAGAAGAGTGAATTTTCAGCTCACACTATCGAATGATTTTCTAAAATTAATTTTGATGGTACATAACTCCTTGTTATCTTATGAACATGAGTTAATCATATCCTCACCTAGGAGAATGGAGTCAAGAGATGATTTACCTGCTTAAAAAGCTGAGTAAGATTCATCATTGAGAGAGGGGAGAAGAGGATCAAGTCTATTAGCTAGGACTTTGGTAAAGATTTTGAATAGACCATTCAAGAAGCTAATTGATCTAAACTCCTAAGGATGACAAGCGTCTTTTGATTTGAGAAGTGTGATAAAGGAGTAATTGATTCTAGGAAAAAATGCTTCCAGCCCCCAAAATGAAAGAAAAGGTGTCTCCCACCCCCAAGACGTTTTCAACGTGTGTTTTGCCCCCTAAAGTAAATTTTTTGTTCTCTGAGCCCCCAAAACACAAAACCCAAGGGATTTAAATACATGAAGACTATAATACCCTTCTCTCTCTTTTTATCTATTATGATTTGAAAGAGTTTCCTCCGTCAATCCCAGCAGAGAACCTTGACCTCCGTCAATCCCCGCCTCCTCCGCCGCGAGTGCCGTTGACACTCCGTCAATCCTCTCGTCGTCGATTTTTCGTCAATCCCCGCCTCCTCCGCCGCGAGTGCCGTTGACACTCCGTCAATCCTCTCGTCGTCGATTTTTTCTAGTCCGGCTCCGGCCTCCTCTCCGACCACGTGCAGGAGGAGCTCGTCTGCACGATCTCCGCCGCCAGCGTCCCACGAGAACAACGACGTCGGAGAGCCCGACGAGGAGGACCCCTACCTCGACCCCGCCGCCAGCTTCCCACGAGAACAATGACGCCAGAAAAGTTTCACGAGGCACTCCTTCTTCCCTCGACTCTTCTTCAGCAACGAGATTCTTCATATATTAAGTCATCATATCTTTGACTCGAATCATGGTTAATGACGCACCCGCTTTTTTGACTTGGAAAATCTTGTACATGATTTTGGTGATCTTGTTGCGAACCTTAGTTTAATTGTTGGAAGTTTTGGGAATTTTTCATGTAATTTGAGACCTACAGTCACCCCCTGGAGAAGCCATTAAATTTAGAGTAAATATTTGTGATTTTTCTTTCATTCCCTTCTAATTTCCTCTGACAATGGTTTGGTAGGAAACTTCTCTTTGTGAATGTCCTTCAAACTCTTGCTCGAGTGCACCAAGTTGCCTTGAATTTCTCCCAGATTTATAATTTTGATGTCACTTGGTATTTCTTTTCTTAGAACCTCGTGAGGATAGCCTCTTATTGAAGACATTTTTTGGTTGCTCCCAAAACCCATTTAAAACAGGTCGGTTGTTAAGGTTAGGGTCGGTTGTTAAAGTTATGGGTTGTGAAGGTTACACGTTAGTTATTAAAGTTACGAGTTGGTTGTTAAAGTTACAAGTTGGTTATTAAGGTTACGTGTCGGTTGTTAAGGTTACGGGTGGGTTGTTAAGGTTACGGGTCGGTTGTTAAGATTACGGGTTGGGATATATATGTATATATATTTTGAGTGACATAAATACTTTAGGCCACTTAGCCTAGTGGTAAAGTTTGGGAGGTTGGACAAGAGGTTAGGGGTTCAAATCCCTACAACCACAATATAAATTTAAGGTCTTTAATTGCCTACTATTGTTGTTTGTAATATTCGTTTTCTATTTTTATAGCTCTTTAATTGCCTGCTATTGTTGTTTATGAGAATTCACTTATTACGCATTAGTTGTTAAGGTTATGGGCCTATAACTTAACATCCAACCCTTAATCTTAGCAGCCAACTCGTAAGCTTAACAACCAACAGTTAACCTTAACAGCCAACCTGTAACCTTAACAACCATACCGTAACATTAACAACTAACCTGTAACCTTAACAACCAACGCGTAACCTTAACAACCAACCCTAACATTAACGATTGACCCTAACCTTAACAACCGACTCTAACCTTAACAACCGACCATTACCTTAACAACCAACCCGTCCTCCTCTCCACATCGTCGTCGTGAGGGAGCTGAGGTTCCACATCGTCGTCATGGCCGCCTTGGACGTGGCCTTCTTCCTCACCATTAACTTCTTCCTCGCCACCGTCTCCCTCCTCCTCCGCATCTCTGCTCCGCCGTCCGCCGCCGTCAGACACAGAGGGGGACCTCGCAGGAGAGGAGCTCATAGACTACATTACCAGGGGTCAGCCTCAGGCTTAGGATCAAGGCGGAGTAGCAGCAACAGCTCAGGTTGAGAAGGAAGAGGAGGAGGAGGAGGGAGACGGCGGTGCCGGAAACCACGTGTATCATTTTTTTTTTACCGTAAACATTCTCCATTGCCGCTGCCGGAAAGTGCTAGAACGAGAAGCTCACATATTTTAATCACAATAACATCATGATAGAGAGAGAGAGAGAGAGAGAGAGAGAGAGAGAGAGAGAGAGAGAGAGAGAGAGAGAGAGAGAGAAGAGTATTATAGTCTTCACATATTTAAATCCCTTGGGTTTTATGTTTTGGGGGCTCAAAGAACAAAAAAGTTTACTTTTAGGGGAAAAGCATCCGTTGAAAAAGTCTTAGGGGTGGGAGACATGTTTTCTTTCATTTTGGGGGCTGGAAGCATTTTCCCCTTGATTCTATGTAGAGAACTGGCATTCTGATATAAGGATTGTATGAAGTTATACATGTCTTGCTCTATGAGGTGCCAGATTTATAGAAGAACAACATAGAGATACTGTCTGGTCCTGGAGATTTCTCAGGGTGAAGATTGAAGACTGCTTTCTTAATCTCTGCAAGGGAAAATGTGGTGTCAAGATGAAGAAGATCTACATTGGACTGAGGGTAGAGCGTATCACAGTTTGGTACAAATAGGGGGTCTTGAGCGGAAAAAGATTAGAAAAATAATTGAAGAAGGCTGATTTTTGTCTAGCTCTAAAGTGAGAAGTTGCCCTTGAATGAGAAGGTTGGGGACGAAATTTCTTCGTCTACGGTTCGATGCATATCTATGAAAGAAGGAGGAGTGTGTCACCTTCCTTGAGCCAGAGGACTATCGATCTTTGGCCCCAATAAATCTCTTCATTTGAAGCAATTTGGAGGAGGTCATCTTTGAGATTAGATTTAGTAGAAATTTCATTGGTTAAGAGAGGCTTGGCTTCCTCTATAGAGGCTAAGGAGTCGAGGTTTTCAACTTTTGGAATTTGAGTGAACCATGGACATGTTTGCTCCACCATTTAAGACAACGTTTAAGGAGTTTAATTTTCTGAGGAAGATCACAATAGGATGTTCTGCCATAGAATGAGAGCCAACAGGAAGAAATGAAAGAGTTGAAGCTGAAGAGCTTACAGAAAAAACGGCAGAAAACATGTTTGGATTTCCAGCGGTTGACTGTCATTGGCGCGGTGGTCGACCGCAAACGTGCACGCAAGCATGAAAAGTCTCTGGACTTTTCGCGATCAACCACGATTGGTGCGGGGCGATTGGCGAGGCGATCGACCAGTCAAACCCTATAATGTTTTTTAGTTTCTATCGTTATGTCCGGTCGACCCCACGTGTCTCTGCGGTCGACCACGAGTCGCGCTGGGCCTGAATTTAGTTTCATGTTCGCATTGGGTTTGTGTTTTAATATATATTGAAATACTCGTTTCTAGGGTTATGATAGGAGAGTTCGAACAGAGATTTTAGATTGTACTGAGCATATTGAGAGGGAGAACTTGTGAGCAAGCTGGAAGATTTGGTTTAGGGTTTGTGTGAGTAATTTTGTGAGATTGTAACCCTTTGTACTCTCCTTGATTTAGTAGAATCTCCACATCCTCTCCCCGTGGACGTAGGCAAATTTCCGAATTATGTATATCTCTATATTTGGTTTGATCTGTCGTATTTAGATTGAATTGTGCTCGTGTGTGGTTTGTTCTATTCTCCCGTGATCACAGATTCGTTCGGTGTGCGAGCACGCTTCCACATAGGCGAGCAACAATTGGTATCAGAGCTTAGATTTTAGATCTAGGGTTTTTTTGGCATTATGTGGAGGAAGATTCATCGTGGAAGCTTGGTTCTTGGAGTTCTAGGCTTCAGTGGAGATAGTGTTTGGGGTTGCCGTTGAAGATTTCGCTTTCCTCATGTGGTTAGGAAATCTAGATGGAATCTGTTCTAGGTTTCAGTTGGGTAACTTCTAAATTCTATCAAATTTGAATATTTCTTTGCAATTTGGAGTTTGTGATTATAGGTGAAGAATTTGGTGAAAGCATCAAGATGGCGGGTACAGTTCAAGTTGGTTTTCAGAATATTAAAATTAGTATGGTTAAATATGACGACAAAATTAATTTTGGTTTATGGATGAGTGACGTACATGATGCGCTCAATGCCTCAAATTTGGAGGAGACCATCATGGTCCATGAGAGGCCATCAAAATATGAAGAGGTGGTATGAGAAAAGATGAATATGAACACTTGTAGGATGATCAGGTATTGTTTGGAACAGGAGCTAAAGTATGATGTGATTGGGGTGACATCTGCAATGAAGATATGGGAAATTCTCAAGTATAAGTATCTTACGAAGAGTGTTGAGAACAGATTACATTTGCTGCATAGGTTATTCAGATTTCAGATGTCTCGAGGCACCTCACTAGCAGTTCATGTGAACAACTATACTAAGTTGTTGTCGGACTTGAAGAATGTGGATGAGAAGATATCGGATGAGTACAATGCTATTATTTTGTTGGGCTGCTTACCGGATGAGGAGTATGATACATTTGTGCTTACTTTGTTGAACGGGAGAACTTCTATCACTTATAGTGAAGTAACTAACGCTCTGACGAATTATGATTTGAGGGGAAAGGACAAGGAGACTTCCCGCGCTAGTACTTCAGGAGAGCTCTTGTCGACGAGAGGTAGAAGCCCATATCCGAGAGGTGGCATTAGAGGCAGGTCAAAGTCAAGAGGCCATCACCAGCTAGGAAAGAACCAATGTGTATTCTACAAGGAGCAGGGACATTAGAAGAGAGATTGTCCAAAGATCAAGGAGAAGGAGAATAGCAAGAAGAATGCCCCGAAAGCCAATGAGGTGAACGTTGCGAAAGGCGATGATTCTGATGATTCGAGCTTTTTTCTATTGATTACTCCGGAGGTGAACCACTTGGATGCATCAGATTGGATGATTGATTCTGGTGCTACTTATCATGTGACTCCTAGGCGAGATTGGTTTTTATCATTTGAGAGACTCGATAGGGGTGTTGTTGTCATGGAAAATGATCAATCCTGTGACATTTGTGGGATAGATACCGTGAGGATTCGGATGCACGATGAAATAGTTCGTGAATTGAAGGAGGTGAGATTTGTTCCTCAATTGAAGAAGAATCTTATCTCGGTTGGAGATTTGGAGGCAAAGCGATTCAAGATGACCTTTGAGGATGCTGTAGCAAAGGTTACTAAGGGATCTTTGATGGTGATGAAGAGAGTCTGCAGTCAGAACTTATATTATCTAAAGGGGGGCATCGAGATTGGCCAGGTTGCTTCAGTTATTTCAGAAGCTGATATTAGCAGATTTTGGCACTACAGGTTGGGGTACACATGAGAGAAGTTACTGCAGACTTTGTGTAAGCATGGGCTATTGAAGGGAGCCAAGAGTAAAAAGATTGAGTTTTGTGAGCACTGTGTTCTTAGCAAGAAGACAAATATAAAGTTTGGGACTACCATTCATAGGACGAGAGGCATCCTGGATTATGTGCACACAGATGTTTGGGGTCCCTCCAAGACTGCATCACTTGGTGGTCGGTATTGGTTCGTCACGTTCGTTAAAGACTATTCTAGACGTTGTTGGGTGTACACCATAGCAAAGAAGAGTGAAATCCTAGATATATTTGTGGAGTGGAAGAAGAGGTGTGAACTATAGACAAAGAGAAAGATCAAGACATTGCGATCCGACAACGGTGACGAGTACACATCAGACCCCTTTCTGCAGCTATTTCAAGACGAGGGCATAGGGAGACACTTCATAGTTAGTCATACACCGTAGCAGAATGAGGTGGCAGAGAGATTAAATTGGTCTTTGCTGGAGAAGATCCGATGTTTGTTGGCGCATAGTGGTTTGAAGAAGATCTTTTGGGCTGAGGCACTTTCATATGCGAGCCACCTCATTAACAGGCTACCATCATCTGTGATTAAGGGAAAGACCTTTATGGAGATGTGGTCTGGAGAGCCAGCACACAACTATGACCAGCTCAAGGTATTTTGGTGCTCTGCATACTATCATGTGAAGACTGATAAGTTGAAACCTCGAGCTAGGAAGACCATATTTGTAGGATTCAAGCGTAGTGTCAAAGGATACAAGCTATGGGATCCAGTTGATAGGAAGATTGTGCTGAGTAGGGACGTCATGTTTGATGAGGCTTCTATCTTGAAGCTTCTCGGCTCTCATCAGGTGGAGAGCGACCCGACGGATGAGATATCACAAGTGATGGAGATCAATGCAGTTCCACATTGTCCAGATAGTACAATATCCATTAGGATGCTGACTGAGGTGACACCAGATGAGCACGACGGTGATTTGGGGGATACGGTTACAGATGTACAGGATCCGGAACTGACGGCTCAGGTTCGGGATTCTATTAAGGTTCGGAGACAGATGAGAGATATACGGATGCTAGCATGGTATACCGACACAATTGTTGCATATGCACTTCCGATGGAGAGTATCGATGAGTTGGTGCCTACTACATTCAGAGTGGCCGAGCAGAGTTCGGAGGCTGATTCGTGGCAGGTAGCTATGCAGGAGGAGATGAAGTCTCTTTATAAGAACGATACATGGGAGCTTGTTGAGCTTCCAAAGGGGCGGAAGGCGATTGGTTACAAGTGGGAAATACGAAGAAGGAGGGCATTAAGGGCACTCTAGTGAGGTTCAAGGCTAGGTTGGTTGCGAAGGGCTATGTATAGGAGGAAGGTATTGATTATAATGAGGTTTTCTCTCCAGTGGTGAAGCACTCTTCGATTCGGATTTTGCTAGTTTTGGTGGCACAATATGGATTGGAGTTAGATCAGTTGGATGTGAAGACGATATTCTTCATGGTGATCTTGATAAAAAAAATATATATGACTCAGCCATTAGGATTCCGAGCTGCAGGGAAGGAAAACCGGGTTTGCAGGTTGAAGAAATCGCTATACGATTTGAAGCAGTCTTCTCGACAGTGGTATAGACGAT